TCTGTTCATTTTCTTCATTCTTTGTTCTCTGTTTTTCAGATTGGGTGATCTATCTTAAAGTTCACTGATATTTCTTCTGCAAGTTCAAATAACTGTGAGCTTCTGTAGTTAATTTTTAGTAAATTTTAATTATTGTACTTTATACCTCCAGAATATCCTTTTTAAAAATTTTTACCTCCTTGATACTTTCTTTTTGATGAGATATTGTCATCATTCCTTCCTTTACTTCTTTAAGCATGCTTTCCATTAGTTCTTTGGAACTAATATTTATTTAGCTTGTTTATAATGGCTGCTTTTAAGTCTTTGTTAATTCTGACATCTGGCCCTTTTCAGTTTCTGTTGCCTGCTCCTCCCCATCTCTCCCCCATCCCCTTATGAGTTACACTATCCTATTTCTTTGCATATCTCATAACTTTTTGTTAAAAACTGGACATTTTATATTATATATATTGTAGGATCTTTGGACACTGATTCTAGTGACCCACCCACCCCTGTTCCAGGCTTGTTGTGATTGTTTTATTTAATTACTTGACTAATTTAGTGAAGTTAATTTCCCCTTCAGGGTGAATGAAGTCTCTGATTTCATTTCTTAGAAGGTGCAGCCTTGGGCATGCACATAGTCACCTGGGGTGATAAGAGCTTCTAACAGGCCTTTCTCTATTTTCCTGATCTCTTTGTTAAACTATCTGCCTTTGCTGGTGTCAAACTCAAGACATTAGCTCCATGCCAATGGATTGCTCTTTGTTTTGATGATGTCTTAGGGCCTAAAATGCTATCTAGTCTGATCCAATTAGATCTGGGCCTTTTTGCACAAGTTTTTGAGGCTAGTCTTTGAGGCTTGTTATGACCGCGGGAGGTCTCTTTTTACCTCTTTCCCTGTTCTCTCTGGTTAAATCACCTAGCCTAAAAATAACTTCGTTTATTACTCTGGTGGAGCTACCAGCCTCCTTTCAATTTTTTACCCTGAAATTTTCCATTGTCCTTGAGAGTTCCTTAGTCCTGAACTTCCCCACACTCTTCCAGACAAAATTAGTTCCTTTGGGGAGAGCTTCAGAGTTCTCTGTTCTTATGGCTTCCTCTCCCCTGGGGAAAAGAAATCTATGTCACTCCTCTGTAGCTACGAGTGGTAGGGGCATGATCTGCTTCTCTAGGGTTGATATGCCTGCTTTATGATCAGAACTCAATCGGGATGGTAGCTTCTGGTCTTCTTGGCTTGACTCTCCTGGCATGGAAACTTCACCCTATGAGCATCTAGGAAGAGGGTGATCAGAGTCCTGATACTCTTGGCCTGCTGCACCGGGGGTAAAGCCTCCAACCTGAGTGGGAGCTGGGTGGAGGAAGTCCTGACCTTTTGGCTGCACTTGCCTGCGGATTAGCCTTTGCAACACAAATGTAGGGGGGTTATGAGAAATACTGGCTCCCTGCCCCTCTTTGGGAGATACCACAGGACTTGAGTGGATACTGGGAGGACAGTGAGCAGTCTTCTTGGCCATATCCACTCAGAATGGAGTTTCTGTAGCACTGAGCTGTGTGTGGGGGGTGGCAGTGGTGGTGGTGGTTTAAGGCAAGAATAAGTTGTGGTGTATATGTCACCATGCTCTTAATGTTCTTTTAGAGATTTAGATTTTCTTGAATGTTTCTTCATTTGCTGTATGACCTTAAGACAGTATGCAGAGACCTTAAATCGTTGTTTAAAAAAAATTTTTTTTAACCAATCATGGTAGTTAGGGTGAACATGTAGCCATTCCAGAAGTCATCTGTCTATTTGTTGCTAATATTGTACAGTTTGTTTCACCAAAAACAGTTTAAAACAAAGGACGTTTATTCATATACCTTAGGAGATTTTAAAAATGAAATTTTGATAATCTCAAAGCCCCAAATACTATGAATTTAGAAAAGAATAAAAATTCTCAAAGATTTTTTTGAGTTTAAAAAATATTTATCATTCAGAAAAAAATCTCAATAGTTAATAAAACAACATCCAAGGTAAAAAAGATAGCAAGACATGGAATTGTAAGAGCAAACTTTTCCATTATTTTAAGTACAGTAATTATAACTGTTTTTGCTTTTTTGTAAATCACTGTTTGCTTTTTGATATTTTTCTTTCACATTGAGGATTGTATTTTAAGACACAATATATAAAATCATAATGCCCAGAAATGCCAGTTACCATCACAAGAGCAATGCTCTTCATTTATTGGTTATCCAATTCACATGGTTGCCAATTATCAGGAAGAGTAATAATCAAGCAGATTTGTAAATCTGCTTTTTCCTTTAAATGCTATTCATGGATGGCTGTCTTTTAAAAATTCTGGAACATAAATGGGAGTTTTCTTTTTACAGATCATATGGACTTTTAAGTATATTGTCCTATGCTGCTTACTCCTGACTTTATAAAAGCCATAGGTGTTGAGTATGTATGTATAATATTTTTAAGAGCTAGAGATGATCAGAGAATATTAACTGAACCAAAAAAAATCCATATCAAGGGAAACTTTCATTTGCTTTCACCATTTCTGTCACACTTCTAAGAAAGGGATTACACAAATTAAAGTTAAGAGAAAAAAAGATCTCATGTACTTGGACTTCCAAGTAAAAAGTTTTGCCAAAAATTTTAAAACACCACTTTCTTTACTGCAATGACAATTATTTTTAGTTCACATAACAGATATACAGTTACTAAACATTTAAATTATTTTACAAAATTTTAAAACTTCTTTAACTCAGAATTTGACGGTTCAAACTATGCAGCAGTTCAAAGTGAACTTTTTTTTTCCCACTACAACCAAGTATAAAAAGAATGGCAATTAATTCTATCCTAATCCAGAAACCCATTTTAAAGAATCTGAGAAGAATAACTGCTTAAATGTAAACAGTAATCAGAGAACAGATGACCACTTGTCACAGATATTTTACAAACAGATTTCTGCAGGGTTTGGAGGTTAGGCTAGTGTTCAGTCATTTCTAAGTCCCTTCTAATTCTAAAATTCTATGATTTCATAGTTTTCCTAACAGTTTTATTAAGAAAGTTATTTCTTCTCACCATTATTGCCAGATTACATCATCACACATAAATGGAAATTTTAGTATGTTACTGTATGCTTAAAATAAATGTCATCTTTCAGAATATGCTGCAGTTCACATGAGTCTTCCCCCCATTTGTTCCAGATTGAGACTGTGTCCATTTGTTTCAGAATGAGTTTCATCATGTTTGAATAGGACCTATTTCCTTCACCTGGCAATGTAAAAAACAATACAGTAGCCAAAATGAATTTTTAAAACATTCACCAAATATTACATCTCATTTTCAGAAAGAACCACCTGTACCTCAAACTCCCTATGTTAAACTATGATATTTATTTAAATGCAAAAAGCTGGTATACATGCTGCTTGCTCAGTTCTCTCCAAATAGAGATTTATGTTTGTTATGAAAAGAAACTTCAGGTTAAATCATAATGTTAAGATGCTAAGTAATTAGGATTGCCACTTTTACAATTCAATGTTGGATTCTTGGTTTTGGGGACACATACACACAAACACACACACATTTCCTTTTATGTAGGTGACAATAAGATATATGCTTTGCAAGATGTTTACTCATATATCCTCCAGGAATTGCTAGACAGATGAAATATAAAACCAAACTACTTGTGGATTTCCAAAACAGTGATGAGATCCATGAGTAACTAGAAAACATCTTCTGATTCATTAGAGTTAATTCTGTATGTTATCAGACCATATAACTTCAAGTAATCTTCTGATTATAATTTTCTATTTTTAAAATACTGGTTCATAAAAAATCAAGGTATTATCCACTGGTAGAACAGCAGTAAATTACATTGAAAACCACTCTACAAAAGACACTTTTGAATGTCACTGTTTCATATTTTTAATACTGCCTTAAAAGGCCTGTTACTCTTCAACTATCTCAGTGTACTTTGAAATATAAAATAATCGTAATTGGAACAATTAGTCTAAATCTAAGTAGGTAATTCCTAAGGCAGTATTTGTTTACTCAGAACATATTTTCATTTCAAATATGTAACTAAAAGTTCTCACAAAGTCAGAATACATCTCATAGTTTGAATAGAAACTTCAGTGTTTAAATTTCAACATTCAGTGACACTTGATCTTAGCCAAAAGGCCGAGAAGCGATCAACATTCAGTGACATAAACACTATGTATTAGGTTGCTCTGGAATACAAATCACTCAATTAAGTAAATGGGATATAATTTCTAACTTGTGTTAAAAGTGAAGAAATCCTTTTTTATGTGAAGATGTAACCAAAATCAATTGGTCATATTATGGTACAAATCAAACTCTGCTGACAACACATTTGTCAGAGATTTGGATACAGTTGGGAACTAGATGCTCCTTAAGGGTGGGGAGAATGAAAGAAAAGGCATACTGTGGATCAGGTCCCCCATTTTTATTACTTTATTAATAACAACGCCTACTTTATTGAAGAATGTCTCTTCCACGGGAGATATGCTTCTAATTTAATAATGCTAGACAGTGGGGAAAAAAAGATGGACCCACTTTTAAAAATTCATACTTATTTACTCGTATTGACTAGGTATAGAATGACCCTTCATTTTCTGCTCTGAAGACAACCAATTTATTTTTTTAAGTATTGACTTGTCAATTTATCTTTGACAAGTGATTAAGAAAGATAAACAAATCCTCTGACTTTACGAATAAGAATATATATATTCTGAGAAGTTACATCTTGTGATCTGACTATACTCTGACTTACAATGTAACTAAATTCTTTGAAGAACCTGCATTAATTTTAAATTTTAAACTTAAATTGTCCTTGCTATACTGTTCACATTCACTTCACACTTTTCATTTTTACATTTCTATAAATACCCAAAAAACAAACTCCTCAATTTGAAACCAACTTATATTGGAGTTCTGAGGTTAGTTTATAACTTTTAAGATATTTTGTTAAAATGTAAAAACCCTGAAATTACAAACAAAAAACTTACAATTTTATAGTATATATCTAATTTATTTTTTTAAAAAAATATTCTGAATTGTTTTTATACAAGTAATCAATTGTTATTTTTTCAAATGAAACTCCTTTATAGGCTAGAAGAGGGTGTGTGGTGTTGCCCCATTAAAAACCAATACAAACATCATTTTTTTATGCTGGCACTTCAACTATTTCAAAGTAGTCATTTGGCAAAATCACGTAACCTCTCTCTGATATGTCATCCTTCTCTTTCTGGAAGTGAACAACCTCCTTTAATTTTTCAAGCTGTCGTTCTTGTCTTCTGCACCGCTGCTGTGCAGTCTTGAGCTTCTTTCGGAGTTTTTCAACTTGTTGTTCTAGCTGATGAATCCTTTTTCTCTGGTGCATTGTATCCTCCACAGTATAGTTGTGGTCACAGAAAACAGAGAGATTATCAGGGGTCTGAAGAGGAGGCATTAGTAATCCAATAGCAGCATCGACCTGGGAAATGGGAGGTGTTAAAGGAGGCGGGGGAAGCTGTTCTTGTGGCTCCAGAAGATCTTCCTTCTACAACAATAATGCAGAGTATGTTCAAGTTTAGTAACTACAAATAACAGTTCAAAAGAATCCACCTGTGGAATTTAAGAATGACATTTTTACAAATTGGACAACCTAGAAGAAATGGTTAAATTTCCAGAGACATAAAATCATCCAAGAACGAATCAGGAAGGAATAGAAAATATGCATAGACCAATTGCTAGTGATGAAATTGAAAAGGCAATCGAAAAGCTCCCAAAAGACAAAAGTCCAGGACCAGATGGTAAATGCTACCAAATATTTAAACAGTTAATACCTATTCTCCTCAAAATATTCCAAAAAACAGAAGAGAAAGGACTTCCAAATACTTCTGTGAGGCCAGCATTACCCTGATATCAAAAACAAAGACACTACAACAACAACAACAAAAACTACAGGCCAATATCCCTGTTGAACATAGATGCAAAAATAAATATGAGCATATTCAACAATACATTAAAAGAATCATTTACCACAATCAAGTGGGATTTATTCCAGGTGTGCAAGGATGGCTCAATATTTGTAAATCAATGTGAAGCACTACATTAACAAAACAAAGGATAAAATCATATGATCATCTCAGTAAATGCAGAAAAAGCATCTGACAAAATTCAACATCCATTCATGATAAAAAGTCTCAACAAAGTTGGCTTAGAGGGAACATACCTCAAAATAAGAAAGGCCATATATGAAAAATCCACAGCTAACATCACATTCAGTAGTGAAAACCTGAGAGCTTCTCCTCTAAGATCAGAAACAAGACAAGATGTCTATTCTTACCACTTTCATTCAACATAGTACTGGGAAGTCCTAGCCATAGCAATCAGACAAGAAAAATTAAGAAAAGGCATCCAAATTGGTAAGGAAGAAGTAAAACTGTCACTAATTTGTAGATGACATGACACTACATATAGACAACCCTAAAGACTGCAACAGAAAATTATCAGAGGTAATAAGTGAATCCAGTGAAGTTGTAGGATACAAAATTAATATACAGAAATCAGTTGTGTTTCTATGCACTAAAAATGAAGTAGCAGAAAGAGAAATTAAGAAAACAATTCCATTTATAATTGCACCAAAAAGAATGAAACACCTAGGAATAAATTTAACCGAGGTGAAAGACCTATACTCTGAAAACTATAGAACACTGATGAAACAAACTGAAGATGACGCAAATAAATGAAAAGATATATACCATTCTCATGGATTGAAAGAATTAACATTGTTAAAATGTCCCTACTACCCAAAGCAATCTACAGACTCAATGCAATCCCTATGAAAATACCAACAGCATTTTTCAAGGAACTAGAAAAAGTAGTCTTAAAATCTGTATGGAACCACAAGAGACCCCAAATAGCCAAAACACACTTGACAAAGAAGAACAAAGCTGGAGATACCACAATCGCAGTTTTCAAGATACACTACAAAGCTGCAGAATCAAAACTGGCACAAAAACAGAAATATAGATCAATGGAACAGAACAGAGAGCTCAGAAATAAACCCATGCTTACATGGTTAATTAATCTACAACAAAGGAGGTAAGAATATATAATAGGGAAAAAACAGACTCTTCAATAAATGGTGCTGGAGAAACTACAGTTACATGAAAAAGAATGAAACTGGACACTTTTATACACCACACAAAACTAAATTCAAAATGGATTAAAGACTTAAATGTGAAACCTGAAACCATAAAAATCCTAGAACAAAACACAGGCAGTAATTTCTTTGACATCAGCCTTAGCAACATTTTTCTAGACCTGTCTCCTCAGGTAAGGAAAACAAAAGCAAAATAAACAATTGTGACTACACCAAAATAAAAAACTTTTGCACAGGGCAGGAAACCATCAACAAAACTAAAATGAAATCTGGTGTGGGGTGCCTGGGTGGCTCAGTCAGATAAGCGCCCCGTTCTTGATTTTGGCTCAGGTCATGATCTCAGGGTTGTGAAATTAAGTCCTGTGTGGGCTCTGTGCTCAGCAAGGAGTCTACCTGAGATACTCTCTCTCCCTCTGCCCTTACCCCATGCACGCTCTCTCTAAAATAAATAAATCTTTAAAAAAATGAAACAAAATAAAAATAAAAAAAATAACATGTGAGATGCCTGGGTGGCTCAGTCAGTTAAGTGTCTGTCTTCGGCTCAGGTCACGATCCCAGAGTCCTGGGACCAAGTTCTGAACTGGGCTCCTTGCTCAGCAGGGAGCCTGCTTCTTGCTTGGCCTGTCACTCCCCCTGCTTGTGCTTTCTCTCTTTCTCTCTCATTCTGACAAATAAATAATAATAATAAAAAAAACACAGACAACCTAGTGAATGCAAAAATAGATCTGCAAAACATATATCTGATAAAGGAGTTAATAACCAAAATATATACAGAACTTATTCAACACTACATCAAAGAAATAAATAATCCGTTAAAAAATGGGCAGAGGACACAAACAGACATTTTCCAAAGACATACACATGGCCAACAAACACATGAAAAGATGCTCAACATCAATAATCATCAGGGAAATGAAAATCAAAACCATAATGAGTTATCACCTTATATCTGTCATAGTGATTAGTATCAAAAAGACAAGAAATAATAAGTGTTGGCGAGGATATGGAGAAAAGAGAAGCCTCATGCACCGTTCGTGAGAATGCAAATTGGTGCAGTGACTGTGGAAACCAGTATGGAGGTTTCTCAAAAACTTAAAAATAGAATTACCATATGATCCAGTAATTCCACTACTGGGTATTTACCCAAAGAAAATGAAAACACTAATTTGAAAAGATATCTGCATCCCTATATTTACTGCAGCATTATTTACAATAGCCCAGATATGAAAGCAACCCAAGTGTCCATCCACAGATGAATGGATAGAGATGTTGTGTGTGTGTGTGTGTGTGTGTGTGTGTGGAGGGTATACATATATATGTACACACACACACACACACACACACAATAGAATATTACTCAGCTATAAAAAAGAATGAGATTTTGCCATTTTGTAACAACATGCATGGACCTAGAGGGTATCATGCTCTCAAAAAAGTCAGAGAAAGACAAATACCATGTGATTCCACTTATATGTGAAATCTAAAAAACAAAACAACTGAAAAAAAAAAAGCAAACAAAAAAGCAGAAACAGACCCATAAATACAGAGAACAAGTGATGGCTGCCTGAGGGGAGAGGACGGGAGGATGGAAAAAATAGGCAGAGGGAGGTGCAGGCTTCCAGTTATGGAATGAAGAAGACACAGAAATGAAAGGTACAGCACAGGGAATGTGGTCAGCGGTGTTCTAACAGCCCTCCTTATACGGTGACCGGTGGGAGCCACAGTGGTGGTGAGCACAGCGTAATGTGCAGATTTGTCTAATGAGTGTGTCGTACACCTCAAACTAATGTAACATTACCATGTGTCAGCTACACTTTGATTAAAAAGAAAGAACACTAGACTTTTTTAGTGAATCCTTGAAACAGGAACATTCTAAAATGAGAAAACAATTTAAGGTTTTTTTTGTTTGTTTGTTTGTTTTTTAAAGATTTTATTTATTTATTTGACAGAGAGAGACAGTGAGAGCAGGAACACAGCAGGGGGAGTGGGAGAGGGGGAAGCAGGCTTCCCGCTGAGCGGGGAGCCTGATGTGGGACTCGATCCCAGGACCCTGGGATCATGACCTGAGCTGAAGGCAGACGCTTAACGACTGAGCCACCCAGGCGCCCCAATTTAAGTTTTAATTATACTTTTCCACCTAAAGTAGAAATGGGATGCAAGAGAGAGAATGACTGATAAGATTTAATTAAATACTAAGCACTTAAAACTGAGGGGTAAATACTTTGAAACTGAATGGTCCCGGATAAAGAAAACCCAAAACTTATCAACATACATGTAGGGGTAGAGAGTGACTAAAATTAAGTCACAAAGCTAGATCGCCTTTCTTAGTATGAAGATGTTTAACTTTAATAAACTGCACTTTGTATTTTTAAAAAGTATATCATTGCTGGGGCGCCTGGGTGGCTCAGTCGTTAAGCATCTGCCTTCGGCTCAGGTCATGGTCCCAGGGTCCAGGGATCGAGCCCCACATCGGGCTCCCTGCTCGGCAGGAAGCCTGCTTCTCCCTCTCCCACTCCCCCTGCTTGTGTTCCCTCTCTCGCTGTCCTTCTCTCTCTCTGTCAAATAAATAAATAAAATCTTAAAAAAAAAAGTATATCATTAACAGTGGTTATCTATAAGTGATGGCTTCCAGGTGACATTTCTTTTTTCTTTTTTTTTTTAAAGATTTTATTTATTTATTTGACAGAGAGACACAGCGAAAGAGGGAACACAAGGGAACACAGCAGGGGGAGTGGGAGAGGGAGAAGCAGGCTTTGCACTGAGCAGGGAGCCCAATGAGGGGCTTGATCCCAGGACCCTGGGATTACGACCTGAACCGAAGGCAGACGCTTAACGACTGAGCCACCCAGGCGTCCTCTAACATTTATTTTCTTAACATTACTCTGAATTTTCCACAATAAAAACATTAATTTTATAAATAGAAAGCCCAGTATTTTAAAACACCCTTACCTTGTCATGCGGCTCGGTACAGAGAAATATTGTGGGTACAGCATTCTCTTTCAGCAACTTGTTGTTACACTCCCTCTTAAAGCAGTCAGGAGTGAAGTGCTCCGAACAGATACTGCTGTACTTCGTGGGCTTAAAGTTTTTCCTTCGGACAGCTGCCTCCCATTTTTTGCAAAGACTGGGTCGAGTAAGAGGAAACCTAAGAAGAAGAGATAATTCAGTTCTCTCACCTTCTTTTAAAAGGAAAAAAAAAAAGCACATCCAGACTTTCCTGATTAGGAAAGAACTATCTTATATTGATGTGAACAAGCTAAGGGACATTTGATTAAAACACTAGCTCTGCTATCTTTTTTTTTTTTTTGACAGTTTTTAGTTGTGCCTTTATTCACCTCAGTTAAGAATGTAATTGCTTTAAAGATCTTTTAAATAAAGTGACCACCCACTAGTGTGTGACGTAAGTCAGCCCTCTCAGCATGGAATTTTTGTTTTTTTTAAAAGCAGTATTTGGGGATGTTGTATGTAAGGGATGAATCACTGAATTTTACTCCTGAAACCAATACTGCACTGTATGTTAATTAGAATTTAAATAACAATTAAAAAAATAAAAAGCAGTATTTATTATAGGAATCTTTTTATCACAAAGTAGTTACAAGAATGTCAGATACGATGATACATACAATTTAAACACAGGCTGATTAAAAATTTACAAAATGTAAAAATATACATATTAAAAGTCAGCCATGCAGACAGATGCATGCAGTGGGAAGAGGGTATGATGGGAGGTGGGAAGTCAAGGGACATGCAGTAATATTGCTTGTCTTCCTCTGTTACAATAAATAACTTCCACTAAGTGATACAGGTATTGCATACACATCTAAATATACAAGAGTAAATGGTGTATCTCCTCTATTTCATTTATTAATGTTTTAACTTTTTATGTCAAAGACACTAAGAGTTTCAAGTAAAATACATAATATAAGGGTGAATCTATACTGATCTTTTTTTTTTACCAATGAAAACAAAATTGCATGTTTATATCCACATACTGCAAAAAAGAAGGTTCTAGTTCTCTTAGGATCAGTCTGACAAATATGAATTATCAAATTATAGTCAAATCATAATGATAAATTTAAAATTTCATTCATTTGTTTGTTTATGTTTGGAGACAACTGTTTGGAATTGAAAGGGAGTGGTCTATTAGTTTCATGAACTTGGATGTTCAAGTCTCCCCAAGTCTGGGAAGTTCTTATTTATTTTTTAATTTTTAAAATTTTTATTTATTTATTTTAGTCTTCCAATTTGTTTTTAATTCCAGATAAGAATATTATTTATCTTAATTTACCTCAAAATCAACTGGAATATGTCCATCAGGCCCAGATAAGGGGGCTTGGGAAGAGTTTAAATTTACTGTGATTTTACTCTTCCAGGTCAAGTATTTAGTGAACTGGGGAGACTGGAAAGAAGCCAAAGGATGTTTCAACTCTATGTTCCAGTTTCTCTTCCACGTAAGGCATGCTACAGCCTGAGTCTGCTATCATGAAGAATTAACCAATCTTTGGGACAGTTCTTTTCTTTGCCCAGAATAGCTGCTGCTACAGGGCCACCATATAGAAACTGGTAAAAGTACCCCTAGAAGATCCCTGCTGGAAATGGCCTCCAGAAATACAAAATTCAGCACCTTGCACTCCTGTCTCAAGCACTACAATGCTCAGGCTGTTTATGGAGTTCCGTCAAGATATTTCCCATCTAGTCCCAAAAAACTGTTCTTTATAGGTAAGAATGAGAGGCAGATCAGCTCTTCCTTTGATTCAGTCATTTCACAGCCAGCAGAAACTATTTCTGATGTGTGAATGCCACCCTTAGTTTCCAGTACCAATGAAAGGTTTTCCACATTTTTAGATTCTTTCTGAGATATCATTAGAAATAGGGTTGTGGGGAGCTGACTGTATGTAACCGTGTTACCGGTAATCTTCTGATCTATTCCTACACTTTCAAAGAACTGGAAGTCAATTCACCAGCTTTCAGAAATTCCAATAAATGAAGAAGTAATATCAGGATATACTGAAGTAGATCCTGGAAGTGTTAAGTGTTCTCTCTCGTCCTCGAGGTGGAGGGTAGGGGTGGTGCTGGTGATACATCAATCAACACTCAAGATCTATGTTGTAAGGCACTCATTTCTTTTGGGTCCCTCTCATACCAAACATAAAATGCATCTACATCCCCTGTTAAACACAAATGACAGCACCAAAAAAAATTGAAGGAATATTTAATTTTTGCTTTTGTAATTATTTACCTACGAATAATTCCTATAATTTACCACGGGTCTAATCTCTTAGCTATCATCTACTTATTGTCGGGAATTCTTGCAAAACAAGTTAATGCAAATGTAATAAAATTTGTAAATACTTTATTTGGCTGAATGAAAATGCCATCGTGTCACATTTTGCAGACATCCGATTATCGTTTCCATTTTGCAGTTTTCTTTTCCCATTTTTCCATTAAGTCGTTTCCATTTTGCAGTTTTCTTTTCCCATTTTCAAGAGAACATTTTTCCATCCAGGACTACTCTACCTGCAGCACTTTCTGGATAACAATCCTGAAAGTTGTGGGGCAAGTTCTTTTCTAAGGGCTTCCTCTAGGCGCCCGTAATAGCTCATACTGACTTCTATTATGACACTTGATTATGGCCGGTGTTATTATTATTGTCCACGTTATCGTTACTGTGCGCTGAAAATATTAAGTATTCATCTTGGTAGTACCAGAAGCTTTCTCTAAAACTTGGAGTTCCTTAAAGGTTAGTTCCTAGAAACTGGGTAAAAACATCCTCCCTGAAATCCTGGCCAAAACTCAACCTTTAATTACTGTGATGCTGGCCTCCCATCCACAGCAAGGATGAAAAAGAGGGGCTTCGTCATTTGAAAGGTCTTTCTTTGTCTCTATTTCAAATTTACTTCTAAGGCGTTATTACCCCCTAGTTTCTCTATTACCCCAGGGGCGAGATCCAGATGCCTCTCGGCTTTGAGGACCTCACGACCCGCGCGGGGTAGTTGGACATCGCTCCTGGGTCGCGAACACACCAACCCGAGGCGGCGGGCGAACCTCGCGCACGGGTTCCGATCCTCGAGCGCGAGAAACGGTCACCGCGGCGACGCGCGCCGAGGACGCGCAGCCCTGGGCTGTGGAACGTGAGCTCCAACCCGGGGCGGGTACGCCCACCGCTCGCGGCCGGAGAGACGGCGAGTAGGGTCCGGTCGTGCCCCGCCCCTGCCTCCGCCCCTGCCTCCGCCCCTGCCCCGCCCCTCTCATTAGGTATCGCGCGGACACGCGCCTGGCTCCGCCCCCGAGCCCAACCGGCCGCGCGCCCCCAGCCCGAGCTGGGGCCAGCCCCGCGAGACGCGCAAGGTACTTACTTGTGGAAAGAAACGGGCTTATCCTTATCATACCGGTTCTTGCAGCCGTAGGCGGAACAGGACTGCACCATCCTTCCGGTCTTCAGTCACTTCACTTCTGCCGCTCCCGCAGGCAGGAGAAGCTGCTATCAATGTCGCCGCGCTGGGCTTTGACACCCTCGCTTCTTCTGTAGCTTTGGTCAACAGTTACAGTGATGATAAGCTCACTCGGGTTGACTATTGTGCCCGTTTTGTTGTTTGCATTAGCAGAAGGACCACAGCCATCGCCCGTCTCCCATCTCCAAGATGGCGGAGGCAGCTTCAACCTCACCTCTCGCGAGGAGTTTGTCTCACTGTCTCTGATTAGCCCTGAGGTCAGAGGTAACGTTCCTTGGGAAGCAGGCCATTGGCTAAGGCCCGGCGTTGCGGAGGTGGGTGGGGCCTCGAGCTTCCGGAAGGGAGAAAGGAAGTGTTTGATAGGAGAGGCAAGGGGAGGGGACCCGAACCTGAGTGGAGGGCAGGACTCCGCAACCTGTGTGATTTCCTTGTGTTAATTTATCTGGGACGGTTTAGGGTGGAGAACGGCGCGGTCTTTGAGTATGGTGGCCTAACGGAGGACAGGTGTAGAGCTAAGGTCATTGGGTAATTCTTCCCATTTCTTTAAAAGGGCAGCCACGGATGGTATATGATTTTGTGAAACTTTGTGGATCCCTTTCCCACATCGCCAGTTTTCATCCCATTACCTGTCGCTGCAGGTATCACAAGGCTCCGTGAGAGCTCAGGCGCCAGAATTGTAGCAATGAGAGGAGACATACACGCTCACTTCTGAAGGGCTTCCATTGCTGTAGTGTTCTACAGGTGCTGTTGGAAATCATGTGCTGCAGCTATTTTCCCACCGTTTGTCTCTTGTTGCGTGCACCTCCCCTCTATGTAGATCAGAGCCTGGAAATCTGGATAGCAGGCTGTTGACAAATTCCATGGCTCTATTATACTTTTTCTGCCCCACTCTCCCCCCCCCCCCCCGCTTAAGTCCTGATGTTTCCCCAGGGTTCCATCCTCTGCCCTCCTCTGACTCTAAACACCCTGCTGCTTGAATTCAGTAAAATGCTATGATTTCCTAAATCTTCTGTTTCTTATGTAAATTTTTCTGCCTTCGGATTATCATCTGTGAATTATCTATTCAGTTGCTTAAACCGGAAACCTTAGTTTTCTTTCTCACCCTCTACATCTGATTGATGGCCAGGATAATTTTATAGAATAAATAAATACTTATTAAATCCACCCCTCTCCATCTCTCTTTTCATTGTTCTTGATCAGGCCCTCAGACCCATGCAACAACCCCTGACTGTCCGTCTCTAGTTTTGCCTCTCCAGTCTTTCCTCCACATTAAGTAATTGTCATACACTTGTTCACATCCTTCAGAAGCTACCTCCTCTACTGGATAAAATCCAGACTTCTGGTGAGTCATAAAGCCCTTGAGGACCAGCTACCTCTACCTTTTCACCATCATCTCCACCCACATGTCTTTAACTTAACTCTTTCCTAGCATTATATTTTACACAGGGCAGGCATTCTCCTGGCTTCCGGAAATAGGCTGTTTTCCCTTAGGCTGCAGTGCCTTTCTCTGACCTGTCCACCTTCAAGATGTGGCCTCAATGTTATGTTTCTAACAAGCTTTCCTTATCCTCTTTTTCTTAAGCTCTCCAACTTAGGCACCTCTCTTGTTCCAATGAAAACTTGTACTTAACCTCTCTATATGATTATGAACCATACTGTAATGTCTATGTCCTTGTCCCACTTCATAAACTAAGATCCTATTGAGGAGGAGGACTTTGTCTTACTTAGCCTTGTAACCCCAGCAGCTTGCAGTGTCTGGCATAAATTAAGTATCTAGAAAATGTTAAATCAACTGGGCCCAGAAACCTTGTGCCTAAAATAATTTCAGAGCCATATCCTTTTACCAAATACTAAAATAATAGTTTATTAGCATTTCCAGGGATAGACAGGCAGTAATTTCCTCCATGGTTTGCTGTGCAATAAGGATCAGAATGTGATAAGTGCTTGTGAACTAAAAAGTATATTTTAACTAAGCGTTCACTGAAATTCTTTCTCATCTGTTGATTCAGCAAATATTTACTAAACATTGGCTAGGTTCTAGGGGCTTGGGATACATAAGTGAATAAGACAAAGATTTCTGCCCTCGTGGAGCTAACATTCTAGTGGAGGTTGGAAGAGGGAGACAGAGAACATAATGACCATATGACATGTTAAAGCATGTCATAAAGGAGCAATGTGGCGGTGGGGGTTGCAATTTTAAATACTTTGAGGAATCATTTCTGTAGTTTGCTAAATACAATGGTTAGGATAGGCCTAATAGAGGAAGTGACTGTTGAGCTAAGATTTGGAATGGGCAAGAGTTAGCTAGGAGGATATCTGGGGGAAGAGCCTTGCAGGCAGAGGGAATGGCTAAGGCAAAACTCCTGAAGCTCGGTATCCCCAGCCTGTACAAAGAACAGTAAAGGGGCCAGTGTGGCTGGATCAGAGTGGGGGTGTGGGGCAAATTTAAAGTCAGAGGAAACAGGATGAGGCCACATGTAGGGACTTGGAAGCTAGTGTAAGGACTTTGACTTGTACTCTGAGATGGTGAACATGTTTTAAGCAGAGTAGTGATCCAGTCTTTTAAAATGATCACTCCGCTGTGTTGAGTATCGATAGCAGGGGGAACTTAGAGGCAGGGAGACTGACCGGTAGGCAGGCTTGTGTGGCAATGTAGATGAGAGATGGTGGCTTACACCTGGGTGGTAAGGAGTAAGGAGTGATCTTGTCTTCTCTCCCTTTTTCCCCTTCCATTTCTTTATTAACCTTTATCGAGCAAATGGCAGACATTATGCTAAGTCTTGCTCTTTGTGAGCAAGATTAACAGTCCCTATCTTCACAGAGCTTATCCTAGTGAGGGGAAGACAGACAATAAAAATGTGAATAAAATAACATTGTGCTGAGATGCCTGAATACATTAGAATGTTGTAAGGGTGAATGAGGTTAGAGGAGGGCTAACTTACTTTAGCTAGAGTGGTTAGGTCGTCTGAGAAAGGAACATTTTGCTGAGAACCAAAGAATGGGAAAAAATCTAGTAGTGTAAAGAATAAGAATGGGGAGGCTGGGAAGAGCATTCTCCATACAGGGAGTGTGTACCAAGGCACTGTAGCAGTAGTGAGTTTAGTATTACCTGGGAACTGAATGGAGGCTGGGGTGGAGACCCAGGGAGCCAGGGGAAGGGCATGAAGTGAGGTTGAAGAAGGTGACTTTTAAGTGCAGCAGGAAGCCAGTGAACCTTTATAGGCAGTAGAGAGACATGACATTTTTAAAATGTCATTCTGGCTATTAGGTGAAGAGTTTATCAGAGGGGCAATAGTGCACGTGAGTAGCAGACCAGTTAAGAGGCCATTGCAGGCAAGTAACACAGGTTGGTAACTTAGACTAAGGTAGTGGCAGTGGAGATGGAATGACCAGGATTTGAGAATATGTTGGAGGTAGAAATGTCAAGGCTTGGTGCTGATAGATGGATATGAGAATGAGGAAGAGAGAGGAATCAAGGTATTAAGGTTGACTTGTACTTGAATTTCTGGCTTCAGTATTTAGATGGAGGGATAATGGTACCTTTTACTGAGATAGAGATGGCCTTTAAAAAAGAAGAGAGCTGTATACCCCCCACCAAATAGAGGACTTGGAGGGTGGGAGCAATTTATGAAGTGGAGTCATCAGCTCTGGGAGTATAGGACTGGGGAATGTCAGAAGAGAAGGAATGTATAAAAGTTCGCAGAGGGCTCTCTGCCGGCGGCTGGCGCAGCCCGACTCAGCTGCTGGGCCCCTGAGGCAGCTCTTGGCTGCATTGGCGACATGGCTGACACCCCCAGAGACGCTGGGCTGAAGCAGGCGCCCGCGCCCGGGAACGAGAAGGCCCCCGCGGACTTCAGCTTCCTGGAGCAGATGCGCAGGAAGGCCATGAAGCAGGGCTTCGAGTTCAACATCATGGTGGTCGGGCAGAGTGGCTTGGGGAAGTCCACCTTGATCAACACCCTCTTCAAGTCCAAAATTAGCCGGAAGTCGGTGCAGCCCACCTCCGAGGAACGCATCCCCAAGATCACTGAGATCAAGTCCATCACGCATGATATTGAAGAGAAGGGTGTCCGCATGAAGCTGACGGTCATTGACACACCAGGGTTCGGGGACCACATCAACAATGAGAACTGCTGGCAGCCGATCATGAAGTTCATCAACTACCAGTACGAGAAATACCTGCAGGAGGAGGTCAATATCAACCGGAAGAAGCGCATCCCGGACACGCGCGTCCACTGCTGCCTGTACTTTATCCCCGCCACCGGCCACTCCCTCAGGCCCCTGGACATCGAGTTTATGAAGCGCCTCAGCAAAGTAGCGAACATTGTTCCTGTCATCGCCAAGGCCGACACGCTGACCCTGGAGGAGAGGGTCTACCTCAAACAGCGGATCACCGCGGACCTGCTGTCCAACGGCATTGACGTGTCCCCCCAGAAGGAGTATGACAAGGACTCGGAGGACTGGCTGGTGAAT